CATCCCAGTTCAGATCAAGTCCTTAAGTCCAATATTAGACAAATATGTCTGATACCAATCTATAAAGTCTTCTTCAGAATCAAGAGACACATGCAATGACACCGAATGCAGGAAGATCACAGGCCAGCCACAAGTGGCATTGTAAGTATCTCCGTGCTGGCAGGGGTCTCCACGTGACTTCTCCAGCTCCAGAGTTCTGGCTCCATCAGCCTTTCTCCATATATCTTCTGCCTCCAGTGAGCTATTTATCTCCTTAGCGCCTCCAAATGAGGTCATCTGATTGACAGGCAAGATTCCATCCCTTCAATCTGAATCCTCAAATTGACACCAGATTATCTATCTACCACAGGTACTGAGTGATAGGGCAGGGTGCCAGAATCTGCATACTTGAAAGGTGGAGGGACATTACGGAGGGCCAGCCACTAACAGAAGACCGTCCGGAAAGCCAGCTTTGGTGGCAGGGCCACCATTTGTGGACTATTAGGTCCACATCCTACAGCTTTACATTTTCCCTGGAGTTGCTGGTTGGCTTGAACCACCAACCTTGCTGTAAGAAGTCCAATGCCTGACCCACAGTACCACTAGGGCTCCTTTCATAGCAAGGAAAATGAGACAGAGCTATAATGTATATCCCTCATTCAGGTTGGCTTTAAGTATTTGAATACAGCCTCCACATTCTGACAGCTACTGCATTTAAGATTTCACTTTCTCAATTTTATGAGAATACCTCATGACTGTAGAGTAGTAAATGGTTTTTAAAATTCTGTATACCAGGTACAATTCATAGAGGAAGAAATCCCATGCTTGCCTACTTGGAAATCTTAACTTCCACAAAACTGAAGACCCTAAAAGCGAAATTAAAAGGTAAATGACCTAGTGGGAAAAAAGAATTATAACCCATATAACTAACAAAAATAAATAATATCTAAAATTTATCACGAATTTCAATATGTGAATTAAAAATAGAAAAATGGACAAAAAGTAGAGCAAGCATTTCACAAAGGAAGCAAGCTGCCCAGAGAGAATGACAAAATTTTTTCATTTCAAAAATTACAGGGAGATACAAATTAAGACGTTAATGAGATATTTCTCACATTCAACTGGTTGAGAAAAATCAAAACAAACTTGTAATACCTAATAAAGTGAAAAATATCTTATAAACCTGAAAGCATGAAAGCCCCACATCACAGAATTCCTGCACATGCACACCAGGGGACATGCACGAGGGGTTTCTGCAACACAGTTTGCAAGGGAATTTTAAAAAAAGAAAAAAAAGAAAAGAAATTCATATGTCAACTACTGAGAGAATGGATAAAACCGTAGACTATTTCTATAATGGAATACTATACAGCCGATAAAAGGGATGTGCTAGGTCTATGCATATTAGCATGGGTATATCTCCCAAACAAGGTTGGATTAAAAAGTACATGCTGCTGAATGATACATTATAACTTTATTCAATGAAAAAGCCAATAAAACCACCACAATAAGTTGAAGGATATTAAAACTAATATCAGAGGTTCGGGAAAGATAGAAACAGTATTGATGACTATGACTACTTTTAAGGAAAGCAGAAAGGAATTGGTACTAGGAAAGGCATCAGAAAACTGTAACATCACTTGTAATATTCTACTTCATTTATGTGTGAAAATAGAAACTAAGTGAAAAACATTAACATCTACAATGTTGGGTGAGGGTATGAATGTGCTGGCTACATTCATGAAAAAAATTCTTAAGATTTTAAAATTACTACTTAGAGAAGATAAATAAAATAAACCATATGGCTGGTCGCATATAATTGCTAAAGATTGATCATGAGTTTGACTTGCAGCTGTTTAAAACTGCAATGCTCACTATAGCCTGTGTAAATGAAACACCACATTTGAAAAGACATTTCTTACCAATCTCTAAAATGCAACTCATTGTCAAAGAAAATCAACAACAACACATTTTTGCTATGCAATCTTTGATGTCTTTATAGCTCCAATCTTACATTTTAAATTGTGGAGGTCACTGCCAAAGGCAGATTTGGCGATCTGCTTCCAGAAGGTCACAGTCATGAAACCCCTATGCAGCACTTCTGCTCCGCACGAGTTGACGCTGACTTGATGGCAAGTACCAACAACATCGTTAAGTTCAATTCGCCCCTGAGTCATTACACTGGAAAACGTTGCAGCCTTCATTGCCTGCATTTCAGGTGGTAACTGCTTTCTTGTTTTAAGCTGCACTTGAGTTAGCCCTTTGATGATCTTAGTCCATTATTATTTCCTAATTATTCCTCCATTACTCTTCTAGGATTTTTTTTT